CATTATCTCTTTTTGCAGATGACATGATTTTATATTTTATTGATCCCAAAGCTCCATCCCCAAACTCTTAGAGCTTATAAACCACACAGCAAAGTATCAGGACACAAAACTAACCCACAACAATAAGTCCCCTTCCTGTATACTAACCATGTACAAGCAGAAAAGGAAATGAAGGAAACAATCCCATTCACAATAACCTCAAAAAAATAAAGCATCTAGGAGTTAACCTATCCAAAGATGTAAAGGATCTATTTCATGAAAAGTAGAAAAGCCTTAAAAAATAAAGAAATCATAGAGGATACCAGGAAATGGAAAGACCTCTCATGTCCCTGGATAGGCAGAATTAATATAGTGAAAATGACCATACTGCCAAAATTGGTATACATATTCAATGCAATTCCCATTAAAACCCCAATGACCTACTATGCTAAAATAGAGAAAACAGTCCTACAATTCATGTGGAAAAACAAAAGACTTAGACTAGCCAAAGCAATTCTAGACAAAAGAAAGAATTCAGGAGGCATCATGATACCAGATTTCAAGCTCTACTATATAGACCTAATAGCAAAGACAGCTTGGTACTGGCACAAAAAGAGACCCAAAGACAAATGGAATAAACTAGAGGACCCAGAAATAAAACTGCATATATACAGTCAGTTGATATTTGACAAAGGAGCGAAAGACATACAGTGGAAGAATCATAGCCTCTTCAACTACTGGTGCTGGGAACAATAGGTGGCCACAAACAGAAAACTAAAAGTGGACACTAGCCTCTCACCGTGCACTAACATCAACTCAAAATGGATCACAGACCTTAACATCAAACCTGATACTTTGAAACTACTGCAGGAAAGAGTAGGAGAGACACTTGAACTTATCCGCACAGGCAGGATATTGCTGAGCAGAGTCCCAGGGTCACAACAAATTAGAGAGGGACTCGATCAAAGGGACACCTTAAAATAAAAAGTTTCTGCACAGCTGAAGACATAGCAACCAAACTAGAAAGAAAGACATCTAATTGAGAAAAATATTTGCCAGCAATATATCAGACAATGTCTTAATAGCCATTATATGCAGGGAAATCAAGACACTAACCCCTCCCAAATCTAACAAAGCAAACATGAAATGGGCAAGGGAGCTAAAGAGAGACTTCTCAGAAGAAGAGATCAAAATGGAAAAGAAGAAGAAGAAGAACGCATTTATAAGGTTATTTCTTTGTTGCTTTGTATGTCCCTCACCCACAGTGTAACCCCCGCTTTCACTATATTTGATGTCAGTATAACATGTGGAGGAGATAGGGACAAACAAGTCGTTTAAGGATTCAGGTGGACCTGTTTCAACAATGAGAAGTACAAAGTGTCATGTCAAAACCAGCTTTACAATGTAGGTGTGTGGGGGGGAAGGGGGGTATGATTGGGTGAGGGGGAGGGGGGAGGCTGGGAAGGGAGGTGAAGGGTAAACAAAGGAGGAGGCTGCAATGCTTGGTAAGAAATGTATGCATTATCCTGCCCATGTAATTGTAACCCCTCTGTACAGTATGTTCTCAAATAAAATAAAATAAAATTTAAAAAATAAAAAAAAGAAGAAGAAGAAGAAATGTTCGTCTTCCCTGGCTGTAAAGGAATTGCAAATAAAAACATCCCTGTGATACCACCTTATGCTAGTCAGAGTGGCCCACATCTTAAGTAAGCAAACGACAAACGCTGGAGGGGTTGGAGAGAAAGAGGAACCATACTGCATTGCTGGAGGGAATGGATACTGATACAAGCACTTTGGAAAGCAGTCTGGAGGTACCTCAGAAAACTAAATATAGACCTCCCCTATGACCCAGCCATACCACTCTGAGGCATCTACCCTGAACAACAGGAACCAAGATGCAATGATACATACACCTCCATTTTTATTGCAGCACTGTTCACAATTGCCAAGATATGGAAACAACCCAGATGCCCCACTCCTGATGAGTGGATCCAAAATTGTGTTACCTATATACAATGGAATATTATTCGGCCATTACAAAGGATTCAACAATGGCATTTTCAAGGGAATGGATGGAACTAGAGTGAACCATTTTGAGAGAGGTATCCCGAAAACAAATAGACAAATGGCACATGGTCTCCCTGATATGTGGATGCTAAATCCAATATGCAAGGCAATATGACAAAGTAGCAGGACTGTAGAGACAATGGACAGCTTCTCATTTTGTCATATCATTGCTAAATGACTCCATGTTCTTGACCATATATATGGTATATATATATATGCACACAATGGAGGGAAACTAGAAGGAGGATGCAGAATAAGTGAGAAATGGAACACCACACAACAAAGGCCCCATCAGCTGCAGCGGACAAAGATGAACATGAACTAAGCAACCCGAAGACAGCGATGGGAAGGGAGGAATGAGAGGGAAAGAGGGAACAGCTTACAGCAAGCAAAAGAAAAGAAATGTAAACATCACCTGATGTGGAAAAAATAATTGTATTGTCAAAGCTCATAGAATTCACAAACTTCATAAACCATGATAATGACAATTTGTCTTGTGAAGGTTAAAATTTATTTGTGATTTTAAGTAAGTATTACTATTCCAAAATGCTGGGAAACGCCGGGCGCTGGTGGCTCACGCCTGTAATCCTAGCTACTCAGGAGGCTGAGATCTGAGGATCGCGGTTCAAAGCCAGCCCGGGCAGGAGAGACCGTGAGACTCCTATCTCCAATAAACCACCAGAAAACCGGAAGTGGCGCTGTAGCTCAAGTGGTAGACCGCTCGCCTTGAGCTGAAGAGCTGAGGGACAGGGCCCGGGCCCAGAGTTCAAGCCCCACAACCGACAAAAAAAAAAAAGAAATGCTGGGAAATATGTGAAATTTATGTAATCACCTAAAGTCAGGAGAGCTGACATCTGGCCAAAAGCTAGAAGAAACACAGGCTCTCAATCTCTCACCTGAGAGGTCTGTACTCTACCTAACAACGAAAGGTTGAATATGGATCATTTCCAGCTGAGTCTGAGACAGAACTCCAACGGGTTCCTGGAAGCCTAGTGGAGCCCTAAACCAGAACTTAGCTGAGCTATGTGAGATCCTTGAATTTCAGAAACCACGATATAATGAGTATGTTTTGTTGTTACCAAATGTGTGATACAATTGCTGTATAGAAAGAAAAGAATGCCAATATAGCCAGGGGCCTCTGGCTCATGACTGTAAAAGTACCTACTTTTTAAGTTTAAGACCTGAGGATTTTGATTTGAAACTAGCCTTGGCAAGAAAGTCCATGAGGTTCTTAGCTCCAACTAACCACCAGGAAACCAGAAGTGTAGCTGTGTATCAAACCAGTAGAATGCTAGCCTTGAGCAGAAGAGTTCAGGGACTGTACTCAGGAAGCTGCTGATGTGTAAACCATGAACCATGTCTGCTTAGTGTCTCATGAGCCCAATACAATTGGATCTACCATGTGGACAGGAGAGGCCTAAAGGACAACACTCTCCATCAATCATAGAGGATGAGGGGCATTGTTACCATTGATTTGTGCTTCATTATTTGGGGATATGGCGTTGCTATGGAGCCCAGAGTCTCCCAGACTTTGCTATGCCTATGATGCCACCACATGCCTTCTGGTATTAGAGGAGTGTGTTTTAATTGCTATTTATGTTGATTATTCTTGATTGACAACTTAATTGGATTGAGAGTTGTGTGAGAGATTAGAAAAGCATATTTTTCTTTGTAAGGATGTTCCTAGAGAGGATTAAATAAAGGAGAAAGACTCATATGAATTTAGGATGCAATATCCCAAAGAGAGCAGACTCACAAAAAAGAGGAAAGCAGAAAGCCAGTGGGTGTACACTCCTCACTCTCCCTCTCTCCCACGTTCCCTCCATTGCCCCTGTCTTTTTTCTTTCTGCTTCTTGACTTTTGTGATGTGACTAGCTTAACAATATCCACTCCACCACAACTGATTGAATTTCTGAAAAGCTCTGAACCCCATGGACCAGCATCAATGCTTCCTCCGTTAGATGGTTCTTTGTGCATTAGTTATAAGAATGAAAGAGTGACTAACACAGTATTGGAACCCAGAGAAGCGATGGTTGCACAGAAGAGATCCTCCAGTTTCATCTCTTCAGTGCATCAGGACCACAATGGGGCTGGGGATCTCACAGATGCACATTGGCCATGTAGCCACTACTGTGGCTGACCTAGTGTGCAATGAGAGGTCCCCATCAGTTATTTATGAACAGAGAGAATGACACTGGAATAGCAAAGACTATGTACTTTCTAACCACTTTCAGGACCCAGAGGGTCTCCTGAGAAAGGAGTCTGCACCTGACTCTCTTAAGGATGGATGTTCACATCCCTGTACACTTCCCAGGGAAGACTTGGCCCTAAGAACCTGGCTCTTGGGAGTCAGGGATCTATCTACCTCAGGAATTCTGAATAAGACTTGAACTACACAAAGCTTGAAGCTCATCAGAACTCATCTTTGGCTGCCATTTCTCCTCACTTTGCTCCTTCTCTCTCTCTGTTTCTTATAAAGCCCTATTTTTGAAGTCCAGCCCAAGAAAAACTGCTTACAAAGGTCAGCTGGAGGCATTGGGAGTTGGGCTTTGTTGGACCGACGATGACCTCAGGAGTAATGAGGTGACTCCACCTTTAGTAAGAGTATGCCTTTGGCAAGCTTTAGCATCAAGAGAACGATTCACCCAGTGACAGCATGACATATAAGTGCAATTTATTCTGCACATGCTTATATGCTGCAAAGAAAAGACCAAACCAAAGCTATTTTCTCTGCCTTTGATAGCATCATTTTCCTCAGTGCTGTAGACCTGGTGGATAGATCATCTTTCATCTTCATTAGGGTATATACCATTTAGTCCTTGCTTCTATTTATTTGGTGCTGTTTTTGTCTTTGTTTTTTTTTTTCTCTCATCCCTATTATCAATGTTTCATATCAAATCCAGGGCCTTGTAGTTACTAAACACAGTCATTAAAACAGAGACGCAACCAATCCATCATATTTCCCTTAAGTATTTGACTATGGCAGACATAACTTTCTCACAACAGGGGAAATTGAAAATAATTTTAGTAAAAATGGCAAGCATCCATGAAAACCATCTTCTGCGTGGTACCAGGTCACAGGGACCCCTTGGTCTTCCAAGCGCTTCTTATACAGTAGGCCATCATCTCTGAAGGAGTCCCACTCACAGGTCACTATGAGAGCCCCCAGGAAGCTGAGCAATAATCTGGTCATCAGCTATGAGGGGTACATATTCTACTTCAAAAGCATGTCTGGTTTCCAGATAGGCATCCTCATTAAAAAGTGTGGGAAATTCTGCTTGGTACTTGTATCTGAACCTTTCAGGGAGATTGTCAGCGCTCAACCATTTCTTATACTTCTCCCAGATATGGGGAGGAACACAAGCACCTTTTAACAAGGCATCTTTCCAGGAGGGGTCAATTGTAAAATAACGGCATAAAACTGTCATGACTTCTGTGAGGGGAATTGGGACATTTTTGTTCTGTTGATGTGATGGTAACTGCAAATTGATGCCCTGGAGAGCAGGGTAAACCAAGATCTGACCCCGGAGCTTTGGAATATCTGTTCTGCCCACCAAGGCCTGGCTGACGAATGCCACAATGATAGCTCCAAAGCTGTCTCCAGAGACCACAACCCGGGAGGGGTCCACCCCATAGGTATCTAGTGTCTTCAGGAAGTGGATGGTGGCATTCAGACAATCCCTGAAAGAGACTGGGTGGTGGTAGTCAGGAAGCTTGCGGTACCTGTGGAGGAAAAAGGAAACCCAGTACACTACTGAGCAGAGGGTTTAGAAGATGCCATTTGAACAGCGTCCTCTACCACACTGAGGAGACCACTTCCGATAAAGTCCTCAGACTGTGTATAGCCAAAAAACACGTGGATTCCTATGTTTTCTATGTGTGCATATGAAGAACCTGCTTAGAGTCAGACTGGCCCAATCCAAACCCCTATCTGCTTCCACAGGCAAGCAAACCCAAGTTTCTGAAACATCCAATCTGTTGGCTTTGGAAACAGAAAATACACAATGATGGGGCAGGGAAGCACTTCAGCTACTGGTGGTCTCATAGTCTTTCAGCATTCATTGGAAGCTAAGATTGATGTCGTAGTGAAATTGTCCTTTTTTTTCACAGAGGAATAAACAGGAAAGAAGAGGGGTAATGTAAGAAGGAAGAACTTATTTCTGAATGGAAACTTCTCTCAGCCTTCTTCTCTTCGACTGTTCCTATGGAACCCTCTGGTAAGTCTGAAGCTCCTTTTCTCTCTGCATAATTCCAAAGCTGCCCATCAATCTGCTCTGATCCATGGGCCAGATCTCTGCAAGTATCTGCTATAACGACACACGGTGAAATTCCTCGCAGCCATCAGTGCAGGTGTGCTCGATGACACCTTGCTCTGGACTCTGTGAGGCAATTTCATTTTCTCCAAGGCTTTTTGTATCATGGACTATTATGTTAGAAGCTCAGGTACTATAGTAGCCAGTTGAGATCAAGTCTTGACACTGTAAAGACTTGACACTGTAAAATCACTCTCCTTAGTGATTTCAAAATAGTCTAGAGATGCTTAGTAACTTACTGGAGTCCTACTGCTGCTGTGGCGCCTCATGCAGAGGAAATCCAAATGGAATGAGTCCATCAGGGAGGCATAAAGTTATAGTCTTCTTAAAAACTTCACTCACTCCCTTCTCCAAACTGTATCACACTGACTTTTCAGGACTCTTTGTACTTAAATATAGAATCATACCAGTACCAGTGCCTACTAATTTTTTCTCCACTCCAATGATTTGTTGCTATCTCTAAGAACAGTGATTTATATTTAGTTACTCTCCACATTCATCTCCCCATTCTTGGCAGTTGTTAGGTAGGGGAGTATGTACATACGCAGGTAGGCAAGTACATAGGAAGGTACATAGGTAGATAAATATGTAGGTGTTTAAAGGAAGAATTGTCAACCTGTAGAACCATCAAGGATGGTGTACAGTGAACAGGACATTGACCTGGGCCTGCAGACAATGCTGCTTCCCTACCATCTTCATCTATATCTCCTCTGAGAGACATACTACCCTCAGATTCACCTTATTTTGTCCTTTTCTTTTTACACTGTTGTTTTGGGTCGAGGAAAATTTTTAAATATTGATTTGGTGTTTTTTTTTAATTCTCAAGGTTATTAGCAGACTTTTCATATACTTGTGAAAATTTTCCCCTTAATTTTATTAAGATTACTTAACATCTTAACTATTCTTAGGGTTCCTTTGCAAAAGATCTCTTGAATGTTCCCTATTAGCTCAGTCATTCTATAGTTTGGATAGGAGGTATGTTGGAAACGCTCATTTATCCATGTCTTGTTTCCTACTTGGTAGAGCCAATTCTTGAGACATGACCTGATTGAATCAGACAGAGAAACCAGGATCTGTTGTTCTATACTCACTTGTAAGAGCAGCCCATTAATTTGCTCCTGAATTTCCCTTTATAACTATCACAAAGCACTGTTGGCAAACTATTTTGATTGGTTAACTAAATAAAATTCTACTTCGTGTCACATCATATGCACAGTGCACTGCCGGGGTATTCTTAAGAGAATTCTGGGAAGAACCCCCCTACAATTAACTCCTATGTTTATGTGCTACATATCATTAATATTATTGTAACAGAATGCATTGTTAGGACAGACACACAGTTACGTAACTATTATACTACAACCACCAGCCACTCAAATATCTCCCATCATGAAGCATCCTTCCTTTGGGAGGAATTCTCTACCCTTTCCCTCTACACTAAACAGCCTAACGTTCCTCTGGCCTTGCCTCTCTCTTGCTCAGGTTCACTCCCTACCTGTGGAGTGTAGCCTACTCACTATAGCTCATTTTCCCTTCAATGAACTTCTGCTTCTCTCATTACTCATGTGTGTGGTGTTTTGGTTTGGTACATGAACTCAGAGCTATTCCTAAGGGTCTTTTTCTTTTATCTAATATAGCACTTGAACCACAGGTACACATCTGACAATGGCAGGTAATTGGAGATACAGGTCGCAGAGACATTTCCACCTGGGCTAGCTTTGAACTGTAATCTTCAGATCTCAGTCACCTGCATAGCTAGGATCACAGGTCAAGTATGTTTCATTCAATTATTTGCTGGAAATTTTGTGAACCTGGAATGACACCCAACTGAGATGGCAGTCTGGTAACAAGATGGTGAGGGTCTTACTTCAACAATGGATGGAACACTTCTTGACTCACAATCTCTCAGCATTAAAGGGCAGTGACTAGTGGTCAGACCTAGTTAGAAGAAGTAGAAATCTGAAGGTGCTGTTCAAGTATACCTTCTCTCTGGACACTGACTCTCACTGTCATCTTTCTGATACCACTCGATGACAATTTTGCTTTGGTTTTGGAATTTATGATCAGTCCATATTAGTGCAGCAAATTGGCTATGAGATAATACTTTGGGAACCATGAGCTAAAATATATCTTTACAAAGTGGTTAGAGTGAGGAAAATTTTGAACTGATGTGCAGAGAAGTAGGATGGTTGCTATGACCACACTAGAATATGGTTCTTAAGCCCTAGGAACTTGTCTGTGGAAGGAATATGGAAAACGTTGGTATGTTAGGTGGCAAGGCCCCCAAGTGTGGACCTAGAGGGAAGTAGGTGATTCTGGGAGAAGTTCTGAAGACTAGCATGCTGACAGGAATGTTGACATAACAGATGTTGCTCATGAGGTCTGAGGTGGAGACACAATTCTTTTGTGAATCGGATTAAATGCCATTCGTGTGACATTTTGGCAAAGAACTCTCCACTTTGCCCATGCCTTGAGACTTTGTGGGAGATACAGACAATTGGAAACAAAGAGACAGAGCAGGAACATTTGAAAAATAGATAGTCTCTTGCAGAAAGTTATTATTAAAACTGTTGGACAAAGAGGGTATGGTTGTTAAAGGGAATAGTTGAGTAAAGAAAATAGTTAAGAAAAAGGAAAGAACACTTCACTTAAGGAATGGGAAAGATCCCTGGAGAGGATCTCAAGAATTATGCAGACTTTCTGGGCACTAGTGGTTCATGCCTGTAATCTTAGCTACTCAGGAGGCTGAGATCTGATTAATACAGTTCAAAGCCAGCCTGGCCAGGAGAGTCCATGAGACTCTTATCTCCAAGAAACCACTAAAAAACCAGAAGTGGTGCTGTGGCTCAAGTCATAGAGTGCTCACTTTTAGCTGAAGAGCGCATGGACAGTGCCCAAGCCAAGAGTTCAAGTCCCACTACCGACAAAAAACAAACCAAAAATAATAAACATTGTCTAGACACCATCTGATTAGGAGATCATGTGTGAAAGTTTATACTCACACTTGAGCACCTTCTTTCCATAGGACTTATAGGAAGTTATGTGTCTAGGATTCATTTTACCATGGTCAGTAACCCTTGCACTAGTTGGCTAATGCCACAGTGGTCCAAAGAGGCCCAGCTACTCCATGTGTTGTTGGTACACAGTTTTTGGCATCATTCATGACTACTCTGGAAAGTTTTGTATAGTTCCACTAAGAATTCAAAGGAAAGCCTGAGAAACTAGCCAAAGCAGAGCAGTGTTGGAGTCCCCGCAGGAAGGCAGTGCTTGAGATGGGTAATTGGTGGGGAAGGTGTGAGGGTGAAGCTATGCTGCAGTGGAGACATAAAGAAGTTGATGACGTCAGGAAAATGGGTTTTATGCTAAGTAAATCTGCAGGCAGTGATGGGAGCCAGTGCAACACAGAAGAAGTTGGGTTTTAATCACATAGCCCACAGGCTGGAGCAACAACTGCTCCAGATGATGGAAAGGCACCACATGGCTTCATGCTTTCCCAGCAATGGTTTGGGCTTGCTCTGTTCTCCTTCTTGCTCTGGAACTCCCATACTTTCCTTTTGGAATGAGATTATTTACTCTGTCCCATTTCCTCTTGAAAGAATTTAACTTGCTCTTAAGTTTTCAAGGACCCATGAGAGAAATTTATTTTGAGTCTCAGAAACTACTTTGGATTTGAACTTTTTTGACAGTACTGGTTCTTGAACTCAGGGTCTAGGCACTAGCTTCTGTTGCTCAAGGCCAGCATTCTACCACTTGAACCACAGCACCACTTCTCACTCTGTGTATGTGGTACTGAGGAATCAAACTCAGGCCTTCATGCATGCTAGGCCAACACTCTGCCACTAAGCCACATTCTCGGTCCCTGGACTTGAACTTGTGAACAATTTTGTAACAAGTAACACTTTTAGGACTCTTGGACAGGGACCAATGTCTTTTGCATTGTGAGATGGCCTTGAGCCCTTGAAGTCCATAACAGTATGTTGTGGTGTTGACATGTTATATCTCTAAAACCTTAGGGTTGAAGGCTGGTTTCATAGTAATTGACACCAATTATTGCAAGTTATAGGAAAAGAAAGGATCTAAATTTACACATGAATGAATCCACTGATGAATTAATAATTTCAGGTTATTATTTGGACATAATAAGAATTGGTTGCTACATGTAGAAAGTAGGTAAGTGTGTTTAAGTGGTGTCTTATTTCTGATACATTCCTGTCTCTTTCTGCTTCTTGACTACAATTGTGAGAGCAGCTAGGCTCTGTCATGTCCTCTTGCCACAACCATGATATACCTTAACAGAGGGACCTAGAAATGAAACAACCTAGCTAGCCTGCATGGACTAAACTCCTCAAATAGTGAGCAAAACTAAAATCCTATTTCTCCATAAGATACATTCCTTCTGTGTTTGTTAAAGTGATGGAGACTGTGTAAAATGGAAAGATGAAATCTTGTGTTTACTCCACCACAGCTGATCCTTGCATGCCCAGTGTTGGTGAGGATTTTCCACCCTTCTGATATCCTGTGGCACTTTTCCTCTGGCTGGGAGTGAATGTATGAAAGGGAACCTGTGGTCGGGACTCCTGGATCTTGTACATCCTCCTCCTGGACTGCTCTGGCTGCTACTCTCCCTCTCTTACTCCACTTACCCCACTGAGAGCACCACTGAGTCTGTCTTCAGGGCCATGAAACTGCATGTGTTGTGGTACACATCTGCAAGACAAGAACAAGAGAGTTCAGGCCATGATGGGGACGATCACTTACCACCACAGGCCCACTGAGAGCAGCTGCTGTTGTAGGGCTCTGAATAACAGACTGTGTCTTTAACTGTCTCCTCTGAAATAACACTGTGAAGCTCTGTGTAGGCAACGTCACATATCTATCTACAATTTACCACATGTCATAGATCAAGTAGACCATGAGGCTTAACTTCTGCAATGCTTTTTTTACAATAGGGTAAATTGAGACCCTAGATGGCACAGGCATCTGAAATAGACTTTGGACTAAAAGTTTGGACTAAGGAGTTGGGATTAGAAGGAGGAAGATTAACTATTTTTTCTATTGATTTTGGTGAGGATTTAGTGTCTCTGGGTGGCCCACTGTGATTAATGCAGGGGTTTGTCACAGGTTCTACAGGCAGAGAGGATATGATAAAGGCAGTAATGGAAAGGAAGGGAGGAGTCATAGCCATGTATCTAGAAGCCCCTTTGGGGATATCCTGACCTGCACCTGCACTGAGGGACCATATTGTGAAGAACATTGCCAGGAAAGTACAATTCCACTGATGATGTGTTCCTCACCTCTACTTGGTTGAGCTCCACTAAGCTCCATTGACTGCTAGAATTGGCCCCACCCAGGGGTCACTGGATAGCTAGCTGAGGCTGATGGGTAATGAGGCCCTTCCTCCAGGACCACACACCACAGGAAAGCTCTTTACCCAGGCTGCCTATCACTGCAGCCCCTCCGTGGTAGAAGATGACGCCTCGACGAGGGCAGGAGGACACTGCCTTCGGCTGGAACAGCCTCACACGGATTGTCCCAAATCGCAGGTTGGTCACCACCACTCTAGGGTCCTTCCATATTGGCAGTAGATGTAGTGCAAATTGACGAAATCTGGGCATCGAGCAAATTCTTAGCTTCTCAAGTATACACCCCTGGAGGAGAGTTGGAGACAAATTTGAATTATCGTTGAAGACTCAGTTCCTTTCAATGATCTATATGAGCCATTTTGAAACCAGTGTGAATCAATGTGTACACTGCTCCCATGTGGAGATGAGTTCATCAGATTCTCCTAAGGTTTATGGGTATTGACACTTCTCAAGTGGTTGTGAGAATGGAGAAGCAGGAAATCCAGGAAAGCTATTCATTCTCATCAGATGGAATTCTTATTGCTACTTGCCTTGGATGAAATCTGATTCTTACATAATTTCTACCATATTGCACCTCATTACCAAGGTCAAATGGAGTCTTCTTTTATTACTTCCCTCATTCCTTGTACACATATATGAGAAAATTCACACCACTAAAGTCATGAGACACAACACTTAGGGTCCTCTTTTTCCATACATATCACTGCAAAGACAAAGATTGATTATGAACCTGCTGCAAATTCAGCCCTGCATCCCCAGACTTGGAAACTCTACTCCGCATGTGAATGCTGCTGTACTGCTGCCTCAACCTTGAATGAGGTGGTTCAACTTCACCTTTCCTGGCGGTGCCCTCTTCAGAACAGCAGGGTTTTCTGAGTGCATGAAATCTGCACAGAATGAACTTTGCAAAGACAAATTGCCTTTTTCATGATTTCTTCAGCATCTACCCTTTCTTGTCAGGGACAATGGCAGGTAGTGAGATGAAGGCACTCTGGTGTTACTCTGATGCTATGGCAATGCTAAGTTACAGGCACTGGACTCTGGTAGCTATAAATTTCTCACCTTGATGATGCATCTGCTTTCTGATCAGCTGTGATACTGAGGCTGGGGACGAGTCTGTGAGTTTCACTGGTTATACATCACACAGATTCATTATCACAATAGGAATGTAGCATGGAATCTGGTTCCCATTTGAGATGCTTCTTGACTTGCCATATGGCCTCCTTTCTCACTGGAGGAACCCAAAGACCTAGAAAGATTTGAAGGCTTTCTGATCTCCCTAATATCACTTAGCATCCTGGGGCAGAAAGGCAGTCTAAGACAACAGACTCTATCCTGTCCATAGGTGTGTATCAACTTATATATTTATATCAACATTTATGTATGTATCAATATTTTTCTCAGTAGATATAGATAGATAGATAAACAACATGATATTCCACAAGTACCCATTAGATCTACTCTCACATAATTTTCTGCCAACAAAAAATACTCTGCTTCCTTTGTCTTCTCTACATCTTTATTATTGTTTTTTTAGGATGGCATTGATCTCTCATGCCTAACTACTTCCTATGTTTTAGACAAATAGCTATCTGCCAAATAAAATGAGTGACATTCACTGAGCACTGAAACCTTATGCTTCTAATCTTAACTACTTAAGAGAATGAGATTCAGAAAATCATGACTGGAAGCCTGCATAGGCAGGAAAATCTGGGAGACTTCCTTTTCCTCCAATGAAACAACAAAATGGTGAAGTAAAGGTGTGGCTCATGCGATAGAGCACCAAACATGAGCAAGGAAGCTGAGTGAGGGCACGAGGCCTTGAGTTCTAACCCAAGTACTGTCACATTAAAGTATTAATATCATACATTTCTCTTGCTGTTCTATACCTTAGCTAAGTTTCAAAGCTGGACAGATGCTATTAGGTTACAGATAACATTTTTTTACCCTCCCCAGTTTTATGAAGGAATTTCACTGGCAGCAAACCTTTGTCCAGGAGATTTTAACCTCATTTCTCTGGTGCACAACTGCTGGTTCCAATCTTCCAAAGAGATCAACAGCCACTGATTCTTACACCCTCACTTGCCTAAGTGAGATATGAGTAACAGGATGTGTTTTACCCAATCTGGTGAGTTTGGCTGGTTATGGCTGACACAGATTCATTATCACAATGGGAATTGTAGCATGGAATCTGGTGTCCATTTGAGGTTCCTTTTGACTTGCCATTTCACTGGAGGACCCCAAGGAGCTAGGAGGTTCTGAAGGCCTCTGATCTCCCTAATAGCACTGAGCATCCTATGGCAGGAAGGCAGACTAAAACAAGACAGACTCTCCTCTCACCATAGGTTGAACCCACTTATATATTCACAGCAATGGGTATATATACATATATGTGTGTATATCAATATTTATCTTAGTAGATATATGTACAGATAGATATAGATATATCAACAATATGATATTCCAAAAGCACCTCTTAGACTGACTCTGACATAATTTTCTGCTACCAAACTATATGCTGCTTCCTTTGTCTTCTCTACATCTTTATTATTGTTTTTTAAGAATGCATTGATCTCTCATGCCTAACTACTTCCTATGCTTTAGAGAAATAGCTATCTGCCAAATAAAATGAGTAACATTCATTGGGCGCTGAAGGATTATGCCCCTGATCTTAACTACTTAAGAAGTTGAAATTCAAAAAATCCTGACTGGAAGCCTGCATAGGCAGGAAAATCTGGAGACTTCCTTTTCCTCCAATAAAACAATAAAATGGTGAACTAAAGGTGTGGCTCATGGGATAGAGCACCAAACATGAGCAAGAGAACTGAGGGCATGAGGCCTTGAGTTCTAACCCAAGTACTGTCCGTCACATTAAAAAATAGTCTAGTATTAACATCGTACTTTACTCTTGTTGTTCTATGTCTTGCCTAAGTTTCAAAGCTCAAGGACAGATGCTATTAGGTTACAGATAACACTTTTTACCCTCCCCAGTTTTATGAAGGAATTTCACTGGCAGCAAACTCTTGTCCGGAGATTTAACCTCATTACTTCTGTGAATAACTGCTGGTTCCAATCTTCCAAAGCATATCAACAGCCATGGACTCTTACAGCCTCACTTGTCTAAGTTATATATGAGTAACAGGATATGTTTTACACTGTCTGCTATGGACTATTTAACCCATGCTGTTCTTCATAGGCAGGGCCACTAGGCATTATAACAACTCATTATCTAACTCAAAAAGACCACAGATTCTTTCTTTTTAGAACCTACTCTATGAGTTTCTTCTGTTAACTGCCTGTTTGGTGAGTGGACACAAGGACAGTCAAGGCTCATTTTTATGGCCATCACATTTGCTTTGTTTTTCCACAATGAGCCTAGAGCAAAAGGTGTGGCATCTTTTCTTTTCTTTATTTTGGCTGAGGGGAGGGGGCTGTCCTTCAGCTCTTCAGCTCAAGGCTAGCCCTCTACAACTTGAGCCACAGTGCCACTTCCAGTTTTTTGCTTTTTCCTTTTTTGGTGCTGAGGAATCGAACCCAGGGCCTCAGGCATGCAAGGCAAGTGCTATACCACTGAGCCACCTTCCTAGCCCTGTTTTATGATCTTTTAAATCCAGGAATCTACATCTCCAATCTTCTCTTGTAAGTAAAATGTTCTCTGTATTCATTTTCTCTGTTCCAATTCCTGTGTGCTGTCTGCTTCCTTCTTGGTCAACATTGAGACAGAATTAATACAAGAAATCATGTAGGTGATAGACTATAATATGGTGTGAGGACTGACTTTTTTAAGTTCTTGGGTTTTAATGTGCAAATCTTATGTCCTAAGGGGATTCTGAAGTATAAAACATGGGCTCTTGCCTAGTGCCAGTGCCTCATAGCAGTACACATACCAACACAGGACCCTAAGATCTGAGGATCATGGTTCAAATCCAGCAAAGGCAGAAAAGTCTCTAATCACCAATTAATCACCAGAAGAGCCTGAAGTGAAACTGTATCTCCACAGGTGTCCTGCTAGCCTTGAGCAAAAAGCTCAGGGACAGTGCACAGGTCCTGAGTTCAAGCCCCAGGATTGCCATACACACACCAAAAACTGGGGTTCTATATTTAAATTTAGCAAACATTGAAAACTGGAACCTCAAAATAAACTGTAGAAAATCTTACTAATGAAGGTAGCTTACCTTTTCTATTTCAGAGGACACTGGTCTCTCATGCCTGTGAGCTCTCAAAACCTTGTTGGTCAGACATGTCAGATATCAGTTCTACTGCTCCAAGTAAAATCAACATTTTTTTTATCATGGGACTCAAAAATCTTATTTCATGAAGGATGTGACACTGTAACACACCACAGAAACTCTTCTACAGATCAAAAGAATGATAAAATGTTGATTATACATATCAAAAACAACTTGAGCCCTACAGATAACAGTACATTACTTTGTCATCATAAAGAGTGTACAGTACTCTGATAGAAGGTATAAAAAGCGTGTATTTTAATCATCTTCACTCTGGAGGATCAAATAAAACAGTATCATACATATAAATACTTCTAGGTGTTGTTCATGCTTAAGAATTAAATTACTTGGGCTAGAAAGGTGGCTCAGTGGTAGAGCGCTTTCCTTGCAAGCCAGAGGCCCTGGGTTCGATTCCTCAGCACCACATGAGCAAAAAGAAAAAAGCCGGAAGTGGCGCTGTGGCTCAAGTGGTAGAGTGCTAGCCTTGAGCTGAAGAGCTGAGGGACAGCGCCCAGGCCCAGAGTTCAGGCCCCATGACCGGACCCCCTCGCCCCCCCCCAAAAAGAATTAAATTGCTCCCAAACCAACCCCCCATAAAACAACCACCCCATTAAAAAGTAGGTTCAAGTCTTGAAGAGAGACGTCTCTGAACATGAAATACCAATGGCCCAGAGACAGGTGAAGAAATGCTCAGCATCTCTGGCCATCAAAGAAAGGCAAATTCAATCACCACTGAGAGGGTGGGGCCAAAACCGGAAACACCACAGGCTCTCCACCAAATGGAGAGCTGGGCCTCCAAGCTGTTTCCACAAGAGACCCACACCAGCAAAGAGGCCAGCACTCAGAGAGAGACGGGAATGAGCAGAAGAACAGGAAACGCGTGGGAAGCCACACAGCGCCGGTAAAGCGGGAAGACCCGTCCCCACCTGTGGCTGCGGCCCTGCCGAGCCGCCAGGCGGCCTGGCTGGGGACCCACCGGGGACCACAGAGCCACAAGGGTCTGAGGCTTCCAGAAGATTCCCAAGAGCCGGTGCTGACCGGGAGAGTACAGGAACTCAGAACCCGCATGAAGGCCCTCACACGCTCGGGCAGCCAACTGCTCTGCTCTAGCCCCCCGGATGTAGCCCAGGGCAGTGGCCTGCGGAAGCAGTCTAGCCCGGGACAGCGGCAGAGGCTGCAGAGGTGAGGGACACCAGACTCGCTGTGTGACCACTCTCTGCTCCTTCTTGCAGAAGCCCCCAGGCCACAGGTGGCAAAAGTGTGGGGGGGTTCTCCTAAACCCGTGATGTGACCCCGTGCGGTCCTGTGGAAGCAGCCTGGCCAGTGGTGGCAATCGTGGCCAGGGACCCTAGAAACAAGGTGGTTGGACACGTAGAAGGACAGTGCAAAAACACCCGCAGTGCTGAACTGGACCCCATAAACAGTGGCATACACAGTGAAACACAGACCCAGCCCACACCACCACCCAGCACAGCCCACAATCATCTCAACAAATTGGGAACACGGTGGTGACCAGCAACCTAAAGTGCACAAAAACAGACATCTTCCAAAGCACCGCTGGACAGCTCCAAACCAGTACCAGGATAAGTGAGTACCCACAGGGCCCACTGCTTCCCTCTCACCCCCACCCCTTCCACAGGAGACCAGCACGGGTGGAAACTCCCAGTGGTGATAATCCCCCTCTACCACCTAGGCTACAGGTCCTAAGGAATCTGAGAAATGTCCAAGAGCACCAGCAATCAGTGGGCACACACAGCTGGTCAGCTTGACCAAGAGCACTCCCGGGAGGTAATGGGAGCAGTCAAGGCTGCTGGTCCTTGAATAAAGATCGGAACTGCTGAGATTATCCAGGAGACAGTTGAAGGATCTCTATCTGCATCAGAGGCAGAAACCTGAGCTGTCTTAACTGTTTGCCCCTGACTGCTCAGGATCTGAGTGCATACCACAGCAGAGGGCAGAATGTGTCTGCCAAGCACCACTTAACAAGAGTAAGCCCTACATGGATTATACCAGCAACTGGAAAGCAGCCCCCTCCTGCAGTAGAACTGGGACCAAGAAAAGTATTCTCAACAAGCCCAGCGCCAAGAGCAAGCTACATCAATTGATCCAGGACTAAATCCAAAAACAAGCAAAGGTACCACATAGTGACCGAAACCGTCCAATTGTCCCTGAAACCACATGCAAAAAAATCACAGAGTACAAGATTCATCAACAGTCAAGATATCAAACCAGACCCAAGGCCTGCAACCATACATAGGAGAACACCAGTGGAAGCACAAAAGAAATGGAAGACAAATGCTACATCCAAGACATGAGAGGCAATGACTCAAGAATTAAAGTGAGAAATAGATCAGAAATTTACAGAACAGGGGCTGGGAAGGTGGCTCACTGGTAGAGTGCTTGCCTTGCATGCATGAGGCCCTGGGTTCGATTCCTCAGCACCACATAAGCAAAAAGAAAAATGCCGGAAGTGGCACTGTGGCTCAAGTGGTAGAGCGCTAGCCTTGAGCTGAAGAGTTGAGGGACAGTGCACAGGCCCAGAGTTCAGGCCCCAAGACTGGACCACCCCCCAAAAAAATAGAAATTTAAAGAACAAAGGAATGAGTCATCAAAAGTGATCCAGGCCTTCAAACAAGCAATGCACTCAAAAATAGATGCGGTGCACACTTTGCTAAAAGATGAGATTAATACTCTAAGAAACCACATAGAAATTGTAAGTGGCTCAATTTCCTCCATGCAAAATTTAATTTCCTCCATGCAAACCACAATGGAAGCTGCAGTAAATAGAGTGAATGAAATGGAAAACAGAATATCAGATACTGAAGACAAAATGCAGGCAATGGAAAAAAGTTACAGATATGGAAAAAACACTCAAAATATGCCAAAGGGAAGTCCAAGAACAAGCAGACAGTGCCAAGAAATTGAACCTTCATATATTTGGGGTATATTTGGGGTGGATGAAGGGAAGGAATACCAGAACAAAGGAATGCATCACTTATTCAATAAAATCATCACCGAAATTTTCCCCAGACTTAAAAGAGAAAATCTTACCTACATAACAGAGGCTTACAGAACACTTAACAAGCAAGATCTCAGGAGGAATACAGCTAGACACATTATAGTAAAAATACTAGATTTTAGCACTAAAGAAACAATCTTGCACCCAGCAAAAGCAAAGAAGGAGCTATACTACAATGGGAAAAAAGAATCACTGCAGATCTCTCCACACAGACACTAAATGCAAGGAAACCTGGGAAAATACCATTTGAGCCCTGAGAACCAATTACTGCCAGCCCTGACTGGTAAATCCAGCAAAACTAGCATTCACCATATTCGATGGAGAAACTAAAATTTTTAATAGTGAAGAAAATCTCAATGAAGTCATAAACAGTACTGTAACATTACAAAGAATATCCAGCGGGGGATTACAATCTGAAAAAAACAGTATCAGGGAACAATTCCAGGCAGATATCTCTAGGAGACCAACTTAGTAAACTAAGGAGGAAAGAAAAGAAAAAAAGCATAGGAAAATAGGAAAATGACAGGAAGCACAGTATACCTCTCTATAATAATCATAAACGTTAATGGACTTAATTCACTAATCAAAAGAAAAAGAACTACAGGTTATATCAGAACACAAGATCCATTAGTTTGCTGTCTTCAAGAGACCGTTGGCAGCTGGGTGTTCCTGGCTCACACCTAGTTACTCAGGAGGCTGAGCTCTGAGGAACATGGTTAAAAGCCACATGGGGCAGTAAAGTGTGTGAGACTCTTATCTCCAATTAACCACCAGAAAATTGGAAGTGAAGCTGTGGCTTAAATGGTAGAGCAGTAGCCTTGAGCCAAACAGCTGGGGGACAGTGCCCAGGTCCAGAGATCAAGGTCCATGACCGACAAAAACAAAAAACCAAGAGACCTACATCACAGCCAAAGATAAAAGCGAACTCTAAGTGAAAGAATGGAGGAAGGTCTACAATGCAAATGCCCCCATTAAGAAGGCAGGAGTTGCCATCCTGATATCTGATAAAATACACTTTATATAAAAATCATTATGAAAAGACAAAGAAGTTCACTAAGGTATTAATACAGGGAACAATCCAAGAAGAGGACATCATCATTGTTAATCTATATGCCCCAAACAACAGTGCACCCAAATATGTTAAGCAAATACTCTCAGATTTACAGGAAAAGATGGATCCAAATACAATAATACTAGGAGACTTTAATACTCCACTATCACCAAAGGACAGGTCTACCACCCAAAGAATTGGTAAAGGCATTTCTGAATTATGTGATGCCATATCTCAAGTGCACTTAACTGACATATACTAAGTTTTCCACGCAACAATAACCCAGTAGACATTCTTCTCAGCAGCCCTTGGAACTTTTTCTAAAATAGATCATTTCCTAGTTTGTACAAGGAATTTAAGCAAATTCAAGAGGATCAACATAATTCCCTGTATTCTATCTGACCATGGTGGAATCAAACCAGCTCTCAATAACAAGGCATAAAGTAGAAAAAACTCAAGCACTTGGAAATTAAACAGCACATATCTGAGCAACACCTGGGTCACAGAAGAAATTAAAGAAGAAATAAAAAGTTCCTACAATTCAATGAAAATGAAGAAACATCACAAAGATAACTATGGGAGGATGGGAAGGGGAAACAAAGAAGGAGGCATCAATGCTAGATAAGAAATGTACTCATTTCCTTGCCCATGTAATTGTAACCCCTCACTACGGTATTTTCACAATAAATAAAAAAATGAAAAAGAAACCTATGGGATGGGACGTGGCAAAAGCAGACCTGGGGGGGGGGTGAAATTTATCGTTTACAGTGCACACATCAAGAAAATAGAGACAGACCAAGTAAACAATCTCATGATGCAACTAAAACTGCTAGAGAAGTGAGAAAAATTTGAACCTAAAGTTGCCAGCCAGAGCAAGATATCCAATATAGCAGAAATTGAGACATAGAGAATATGAAACTATAAAATGAATAAAACAAAAGGCTTTTTAAAAAAAGAATCAATAAAAATTGATGGAGCACTGGCAAGATTAAGTAAAAAAAGAAAAGAGGAGACCCAAATCAACAAGATCAGGAATGCCACAGGAAAAATTACAACAAACATCCAAGACATCCAAATGATTATAAAGACCTATTGTAAGACTCCATAAACTTTGAAATGGATGAATTTCTGGAGAATTCAACTTGCCCGAACTGAACCAAGAAGAAATAAAGCAATTAAATATGCCAGTAAGCTACAATGAGATAGAGGAAGCAATCATAAGCCTTTCAACAAGGAAAAGGGTAGGACCAGATGGATTTACTATGGAATTCTATAAGACCTTTAAAGAGCAATTAATACCTTTACCCTAAAGCTCATCAGAGAAATAGAAACAGAGGGAGCAATCCCAAACTCATTCAACGAAGTCAATATCACACTCATCCCCAAACCGGCAAAGACCCAACCAAAAAAGAGAAACTACGGACCAATCTCTTTGATGAACACAGATGCAAAGCGCCTCAATAAAATCCTAGCCAAGGGCTGGGAAGGTGGCTCAGTGGTAGAGCGCTTGCCTTGCATGCCTGAGGCCCTGGGTTCAATTTCTCTGAAATTGAACTGAAAATAGATCAAAGACCTTAACATCAAATCTGATACTCTGAAACTACAGCAGGAAAGAGTAGGAGAAACACTTGAACTTATAGGCACAGGCAGGATCTTGCTGAACAGAGTCCCAGGGTCTAAACAAACTGGAGAGACTCAATCAAAGGGACACCTGAAAATAAAAAGTTTGTGCACAGCTAAAGACATGGCAACCAAACTATAAAGAAAGACAACTAATTGAGAAAAATATTTACCAGCAATATATCAGAAAAGGTCCTAATAGCCATTAAATACAGGGAACTCAAGACACTAACATCTCCAAAATCTAACAAAGCAATCATGAAATGGGCAAGGGAGCTAAAGAGAGACTTCTCAGAAGAAGAGATCAAAATGGAAAAGAAGAAGAAGAAGAAATGTTCATCTTCCCTGGCTGTAAAGGAATTGCAAATAAAAACACCCTGTGATACCACCTTACCCCAGTCAGAATGGCTCACATGCTAAAGTCAGCCAACGACAAATACTGGAGGGGATGGGGAGAAAGAGGAACCCTACTGCATTGCTGGTGGGAATGGATACTGATACAAGCACTTTGGAAAGCAGTCTGGAGGTACCTCAGAAAACTAAATACAGACCTCCTCTATGTCCCAGGCATACCACTCTGAGGCATCTACCCTGAACAACAGGAACCAGGATACAAGGTTACATGCACCTCCATTTTTATTGAAGCACTGTTCACAATTGCCAAGATATGGAAACAACCCAGATGCCCAACTCCTCATGAGTGGATCCATAAATTGTGGTACCTATATACAATGGAATATCATGCAGCATTGCAGGAGAATGGATGGAATTACAGTGAACCATTTTAGCGATGTAAGCCAAAAAAAAAAAAAAAAAAGAGAGACAAATGGCACATGGTCTCCCTGGTATGTGGATGCTAAAGCCAACATACAAGGAAATATGACCAAGTAAACAAGACTCGTGAAATAAAGGACAGCCACTCATTTTGTCGTATCATTGCTAAATGACTCCATGTTCTTGACCATATATATGGGATATATATGCACACAAAGGAGGGAAACTTGCAGTATTATACAGAATTAACAGGAAACACAACAACACACCACAAAGGCCTCATCAGCTGCACTGGACATTAATGAAAATGAGCAAAGCAACCCAAAGACAGCGATGGGAAGGGAAGAATGAGAGGGAAAGAGGGAACAGCTTACACTAAGCTAAAGGAAAGAAATGTAAACATCTCCTGATGTGGAAAAAAAATTGTATTGTCAAAGCTTAAAGAATTGACAAGCCTCATAGACCATGATAATGACATTTTGCCTTGTGAAGGTTAAAATGTGTTTGCGACTTTAACTGTCACTATTCCATAATACTGTGAAATTTATGTAATCACCTAATCTCAATAGTAAAAGAAAGAAACGTGAGAGAAGGGATGGGTTAGGAGCGATGGGTGACAATGTTGTCAGACACCTTGTACTCATATACTGTTTTGTAGAATGAGAACTTCTTTGTACAACTACTTAAAGATAATAAAGAAAGAAAAAGAAAAACCTTTCTAAGGCTGTAAGTTGCTAGAAACAGATTCTCAAAGGTCTTGCTGTTCTGAAGTATATACAACTAAGATACTCAGTGCATCCAATTTTAATCTTCAAATTATAAGTAACTTTAAGTGGCTGTGTGATTCCTCAAATATGGACATTTCAAGGCATGAGATAGTGCTGCACCCTTTGCAGTCTATTTACTCTACACTGTACATAATTGCACAATGTACAGCCTATCTACTCTACATTGTATGTAATCTACATTGTAGATGCTTGTGGAACTATTCCCAGTTCAAGTGTGAGCAAAAAATGGAGCCTCATCACCGAGGGCAGCCTAGGCTATAGTGAAAGCTAACCTTGAACTTAGACTCTTGATCTGGAGGCCCAGTGATACATGTAGGAGAATCAAATTGTAGCATTTTAGAGCAAATTTGCCCCTAAATACGTGTTTTGGTAAGTGGGTATACACTTGCACACACACGCACACACAAACACATGCATGCATACAGACACACACACCCATGCTCACACATACATAAAGTCTGCATTAAAATTAAAACAGATTTACATAGTGCCTAAATAAAGAATGCAATTGTGTAGACACATCTTGGATTTCTGACCTCAGACTGCAAGACAATACATTGGTATTATAAAAAGCAACTATGTGTGTGAACATGGGCTACTCTAGTCAAAGGGACAGGGTATAAGTATATAATCAGCTATTCTATCAAAGCTGATATGATTCAATACTTCCAGTGATAATCTGTCATTAGTGGAGACCAACCCCTAAATCACAAATGACATTGTTATACCAAATAGCTTCCATGTAAGCAGATCCTAAAGTCCTATAACCTCCATGAGTGTGATTCATATTCTGTGTGATTACCTCATGTGAGCAAGACCTCCGACTTGCTTCTGAGCAAACATGGTATTGGTGACTGAATGCACACATCTACATGTTTGTGACTCCATGAGTATTTCTGGTGATGATATTTCTCTGTCCTTCATGCTTGTTTATGGAGGAGCAGCCATTTAGTGGAAGTCAGAAGAAGAAAAGATTAAATGGATTTGAGAAGGCAGGAGAGCTGACATCAGGTCCCAAGCTAGAAGAAACACAGGCTCTCAATCTCTCACATACGGGTCTATACTCTAAGTAACAACTGAAGGTTGGATATAGATCATTTCTTGTTGAGACTAAGACAGAACTTCAACATGTTCCTAGAAGACCAGTGGAGCCATAAACCAGACCTAAGTTGAGCTATGTGAGACCCTTGAGCTTCAGAAACCAGACATAATTAGTGTGTTGTGTTGTTACCCAATTTGGGATGCATTTGTTGTGTACATAGGAAAGGATGCCAATGTACCCTGGGGCTTGTGGCTCATGCCTATAAACCTAGCTACTCAGGAGGTTGAGACCTGAGGACTTTGATTTGAAAACAGCCTAGGCAGGAAAGTCCATAAGTTTCTTATCTCCAATTAACCACCAGAAATATAGAAGTGGAGCTGTGTATCAAAGTGGTAGAATGCGAACCTTGAGCAAAAGAGCTCAGGGACTATATTCAGGAAGCTGCTGATGTGTAAACCATGAACTATGTCTGCTTAGACTCTCAAGAGCCCAATACAATTGGATCTACCATGTGGACACAAGAGGCCTAAAGGACAACTCCCTCCATCAATCATAGAGGATAAGAGGGATTGTTACCATTGATCTGTGCTTCATTATTTGGGGACATGGCTTTGCTATGGAGCCTAGACTCTCCCAGAGTTTGCTATGCCTGTGATGCCACCACATGCCTTCTGGTAGTAGAGAAGTGTGTTACCATTACTATTTCTGTTGATTATTCTTGATTGACAACTTAATTGCATTGAGAGGTGTGTGAGAGATTAGAAAAGCATATTGTTCTCTGTGAGGATGTTCCTAGAGAGGATTAAACAAAGGAGAAAGACCCATATGAATTTAGGATGCAATATCCCAAAGGGAGCAGACTAACAAAAAAGAGAAAAACAGAAAACCAGTGGGTGAATATTCTCTCTCCCTCACTCCCTCCATGCCCCCCCTCTTTTTTCTTTCTGCTTCTTGACTTCGGTGATGTATCTAGCTTTGCAATATCCTCTCCACCACAATTGATTGAACTTCTGAAAAGCTCTGAACCCCACAGACCCCCATCAATGCTTCCTCCCTTAAACGGTTCTTTGTGCATTAGTTATAGGAATGAAAAGTGTGACTAGCACAGCATTGGAACACAGGAAAGCGATGTTGCACAGAAGAGATCCTCCAGCTTCATCTCTTCCCTGCATCAGGACCACAATGTGGCTGGGGCTCTCACAGATGCCCATCTTGCACATTGGCCATGCAGCAACTACTGCGGCTGACCCAGCATGCAATGAGAGGTCCCCATCAGTTATCTATGAGCAGAGATATTGACACTGCAGAAGCAGTATGTATGTACTCTCTATGTACTCTCTAAACACCTGCAGGACACAGAGGCTCTCCTGAGAAAGGAATCTGCACCGACTCTCTTAGGTATAGACATTCACATCCCTCTACACTTCCCATGGATCCCTTGGCCCTTAGAATCTGGTTCTTGAGAATCAGGGATCTACCTCAGAAATTCTGATTAACGACTTGAACTACACAACGCTTGAAGCTCATCAGAACTCACCTTTGGCTGCCATTTCTCCTCACTTTGCTCCTTCTCTCTCTCTCTTTCTTATGAAGACCTCTTTTTGAAGTCCCTCCCAAGGATGACTGGTTTAACAGCTCAGCTGGAGGCATTGCAAGTTGGGCTCTTTTGGACCATCAAGAGGATGATTCACCCAGTGACAGCATGACACATAAGTACAATTTATTCTGCACAGGCCTCTATGCTGCAAAGAAGAGACCAAACCCAAAGCCATGTTGTCTGCCTTTGATAGTATCATTTTCCTCAGTGTTGTAGAATTGGTGGAGAGATCATCTGAGCTCATCTTCATCAGGGTCTCTTGTATATGCCATTTAGTTCTTCTTTCTGTTTATTTGGGCTGTGTTTTTTTTAATAGTTTTTGTTTACTTTTCTCTCTTTCCTGTTTTCAGTTCTACAAATCAAACCCAGAGGCTTGTAGGTATTAGGAAAATTCATTACAACAGAGACACAACAATTTTATCATATTTCCATTAAGTATTAGACTATGGCAGATAATACTTTCTCACAACAGGGGAAATGGAGAAGAATTTTAGGAAATAATGGCAAGCATCCATGAAAACTATCTTCTGCATGGTACCAGGTCACAGGGACCCCCTGGTCTTCCAGGCGCTTCTTGTATAGCAAGGCATCATCTCGGAGGACATCCTACTCACAGGTCACTATGAGAGTCCCTGGAAGCTGAGTGATAATCTGGTCATCAGCTATGAGGGGGGCATTTTCTACCTCAAATACATGACTGGTTTACAGATAGGCAGCCTCATTAAAAGGTGTGGGAAATTCTGCTTGGTACTTGTATCTGAACCTTTCAGGGAGATTGTCAGCGCTCAACCATTTCTTATACTTCTCCCAGATATGGGTAGGAACACACGCACCTTTTAACAAGTCATCTTTCCAGGAGGGGTCAATTGTCAAATATCAGCAGAAACATAATGAGGTCTCTGGTGGGAAATGGGACATTTTTGTTCTGTTGATATGATGGTAATTGAAAATTGATGCTCTCCAGAACAGGGTAAAACAAGATCTGTCCCCAGAGCTTTGGAATATCTGTTCTGCCCACCAAGGCCTGGCTGACGAATGCCACAATGGTAGCTCCAATGCTGTCTCCAGAGACCACAACCCAGGAGGGGTTCACCCCATAGATATCTAGTGTCTTCAGGAAGTGATGGTGGCATTCAGACATTCCCTGAAACAGAGCGGGTGATGGTAGTCAGGAAGCTTGCGGTACCTGTGGAGGAAAAAGGAAACCCACGACCCTAGTGAGTAGAGGGTTAGAAGACCATTTGAACAACGTCCTCTACCACACTGAGGAGACCACTTCTGATAAAATCCTCAGACTTGTGTGTAGCCAAAAAACATGTGGATTCCCATCTATTCTGTGTGTGCATATGAAGAAGCTGCTTAGAGTCAGCGTGGCTGAAGTTCCCAATCCAAACCCCTATCTGCTTCCACAGGCAAACAAACACAGGTTTCAGAAACTTCCAATCTGTTTGCTTTGGTAACAGAAAATACACAATGATGGGGACAGGGAGGAACTTCAGCTACTGGTGATCTCACAGCCTTTCAGCAGCCATGGGGAAGTATACTTGGTGTCATAGTGAAATTGTTGTTTTTTTTCACAGAAAAATAAATGGGAAAGAAGAAGGGTAATATAAGAAGGAAGAACTTATTTCTGAATTGAAACTTCTCTCAGCCCTCTTCTCTTCGACTGTTCCTATGGCACCCTCTGGTAAGTCTGAAGCTCCTTTTCTCCCTGTATAATTCCAAAGCTGCCCATCAATCTGCTCTGATCCATGGGCCAGATCTCTGCAAGTATCTGCTATAACAACACACGGTGAAATTCCTCGCAGCCATCAGTGCAGGTGCTCGAGGATACCTTGCTGTGGTCTCTGTTAGGCAATTTCATTTTCTCCAAGGCTTTTTGGATCATGGACTATTTTGTTAAAAGTTCAGATACTATAGTAGCCAGTTGAGATCAGGTCTTGACACTGTAAAGATTTTGCTCTCCTTAGTGATTTCAAAATAGTCTAGAGATGCTTAGTAACTTACTGGAGTCCTAAAGCGCCTTGGCGCCTCATGCAGAGGAAATCCAAATAGAATGAGTCCATCAACGAGGCATAACGTTATAGTCTTCTTAAAAACTTCACTCACTCCCTTCTCTAAACTGTATCACACTGACTCGTCATGACCTTTTAGACTTAGATACAGATTCATATTGACCAATGCCTGTTCTTTTTTTATTCCAATGATTTGTTGATTTCTCCAAGAACAGTGATTTATTCTTAGTTACTCTCCACATTCATCTCTGCATGTCTGGAAGTGGTTAGGTAGGGAAATATGTACATACGCAGGTTGGCAAGTACATAGGAAGGTACATAGGTAGGTAAATAAGTAGGTGTTTAAATGAAGAATTGTCAACCTGTAGAACCATCAAGTATGATATACAGTGAACAGGACATTGACCTTGGCCTGCAGACAGTGCTGCTTCCCTACCATCTTCATCCATATCTCCCCTGAAAGACATGCTACCCTCAGATCACCTTCTTTTCTCCTTTTCTTTTTACATTTTTGCTTTGTGTCTAGGTGAATTTTTAAATATTGATTTGGTGTTCTTTTTTTTTTTAATTCTCAAGGATATTAGCAGACTTCTTGTATACTTGTGAAAATTTTCCCTTAATTTTACTAAGATTACTTAACATCTTAACTGCTCTTAGGGTTCATTCGCAAAAGATCTCTCGTGTGTTCCCTAATAGCTCAGTCATTCTACAATTGGGATAGGAGGTATGTTGGAAAGGCTCATTTATCCATGTCTTGTTTCCTAAATCCTAGAGCCAATCCTTGAGACATGACCTGATTGAATCAGACAGAGAAACCAGGATCTGTTGTTTTGTAGTCACTTGTAAGAGCAGCCCATTAATTTGCTCCTGACTTTATACCTTTAAAACAATCAGAAAGTACATTTGGCAAACAGTTTTGATTGGTTAACTAAATAAAATTCCACTTCTTGTCACATCATATGCACAGTGCACTGCCAGGGTATTCTTAAGAGAAATCTGGGAAGAACCCCCCTAAAATTAACTCCTATGTTTATGTGCTACATACCATTAATATTATTGTACCAGAATCCATTGTTAGGACAGACACACAGTTATATAACTATTATACTACCACCACCAGCCACTCAAATCTGTCCCATGACAAAGCATCTGTCCTGTGGGAGAAATTCCCCACCCTTTGCCTCGGTCTAAACAGCCTAATATCCCACCCAACCTTTCTCTGGCCTTGCAAGAGAGAGTCTCGCAAGAGAGAGTCTTGCTCAGGTTCACTGGCTTCCTGGGGAGTGTAGCCTACTCACTAAAGCCCACTTTCCCTCAAATGAACTTCTGCTTCTCTCAGTACTCATGTGTGTAATGTTTTGTTTTGGTACCTCAATTCAGGGATGTCCTTAAGCTTCTTTTTCTCAAGGTTACCAATGTAGCACTAAAGCCACAGGTACACATCTGGCATTTCTGCCAGGTAATTGAAGTCTCAAAGACATTTCTACCTGTGCTAGCTTTGAACTGTAACCTTCAGATCTCAGTCACCTGCATAGCTGGCATGACAGGTCATGTATGTCTTATTCAATACTTTGCTGGAAATTAGGTGAACCTAGAATGGCACCCAACTGAGATGCCAGTGTGTTACCAAGAAGGTGAGGCTCTTATTTCAACAATGGATGGAACACTCCTTGACTCACAATCTCTCAGCATTATAGGCAGTGTTTATAAGACCTAGTTACAAGAAGTAGATTACTGATGGTGCTGTTCAAGTATACCTTGTCTCTGGACACTGACTCTCACTATCTTCTTTTGAAACTACTTGATGAGAATTTTGCTTTGGTTTTTTATTTTGGGGTGGAGGGGTCCGGTTGCAGGGTCTGAACTTGGCCCGGGTGCTGTCACTCAGCTCTTCAGCTCAAGGCTAGCGCTCTACCCCTTGAGCCACAGTGCCACTTCCAGCATTTTTCTTTTTGCTTATGTGTGGCCGAGGACTCAAATCCAGGGCCTCATGCATACAAGGCAAGCACTCTACCACTGAGCCACCTTCCCAGCCCCTTGCTTTGGTTTTTGACCTTATGATCAATCCAAATCAGTGGAGCAAACTGGCTATGAGTTGATATTTTGGGGACCATGAACTAAAATAAATCTTTACAAAGTGGTCAGTGTGAGGACACTTCTCTGAACTAATGTGCTGAGAAGTAGGACGGTTGCCATGACCACACTTAAGCCCTAGGAACTGGTCTGTGAAAGGAATATTGAAAACTTCACTATGTAAGGTGCAAGGCCCCCATGTATGGAACTGGAGGGAAGTCGGTGATTCTGGGAGAAGTTCTGAAGCCTGGAATGCTGACAGCAATGTTGACATAACAGATTGTGCTCATGAGGTCTGGGGTGGAGACACCATTCTGTTGGGAATCGGATTAAATGCCATTCATGTAACATTATAGCAAAAACGCTCCATTTTGTCCATGCCTTCAGAATTTGTGGGAGATAGAGATAATTATAAACAAAAAGACTAAGCAGGAACATTGGAAAAATAGATACTCTTTTCCAGAAAACTATTATTAAAACTGTTATACATATTGTGTATGGCTGTCAAAGAGTATGGTTGAGTAAA